TGCTGCCGGCGACCGCGGGCTCGCGCTGACTTCGGAGCCGTCTCAGTAATGTCTTTTACGGTGTGTGTGCGGGTGTGCATGTGTGCGAGACAGGGAGGGAGGGAGGGAGAGGCGATATTTGCGTAAGGCTTGCTGTGCCTTATAGTGTGCAATTATAGCTCGGCGACGTATACATGACTGTTTGCAAAGTATGAGAATAGCTAAGCTTGGGTTATGCCTACCAATCGATGGCTTGTGATAAACACGGTTTGAACAGCCCTTCCAGTTTATAAATTTAACCAGATAGGCTCCTAGATAACAGAGCATCTCCATAACCAGTAGGTATTTGTAAATAGGCAGGAGCAGCCTGGGCTCTCGGCTGAGCTGCCCTTATTTACACTGCGGCGTGACTGTGTTTAGCTTTCCGCTCCCCCCTCGGATTTACCTTGTTCTTTGTTAGTTACAGTGAAGCCTGCCCTGGCCGTTTGTCTCCAGCAAACACTGTAACACCGAGTTACACCGAAGGAACTGCACCAAGGCCGGGAATAATGACATCTGCTCTCGTTTCTGATGTGGGCAAAGTCAATGAATTTTTAACATCCCAAACTGACTCTCTTTCCGGGAGTGTATTTGGTACTACAAGTATTACATAATGTATGTGTGGCATATGTGTATGATGTGTGCTGGAGCTTTCCTGTCGGGAGCACTTTATCTGTGATTTGCATGAAATAATCTTATGTTTCCATTAGAAGCTATCTGTAACTTCTGACAAGGTGGAAACGAGCGGTGACTGGTAAAGGCTCTGATTGAATACATTGTTGTCCAAAAAGTTTTCTGAGATTTTTAGTATGTGGCCTGAAACAGTAGTTGAAAGAACTATTTTTACCAGAAACCATTTTTTTTCTTTAAAGTCTGTGTAGATATTTGCTGTTAGTTTTTTTTTTTAAACTAAAAACACTGTTATATGCTGAAATTATTTAGAGTTTGTAAAATCTATGTATAAAATGGCTCCCCCAAATCAGAGGTCAAAGCCACCTGCCAACCTCGGGACTATGGGAGAAGTTGGTAAGGACAGCTCTTTTGGGGGAGAAATGTGAAGGGCGGCAACCCCAGCGGGGGCTAGTGTCTAGTTATCTAGCTGCGAATGTCCTATCAAATATGAGTGACAAAATACAGATTACACAGCTTTTGCTCTTGCCCTCTGGGGGGTCTGTAGCTGACATCTAGTACTTGTTACATGGTGTAAAATAAAGCATGCGTTGATGTTATAGTTATGCAAATAAGCTTTAGGCCCTGATCTATTATTGGCAGTGCTTTCTTGAACTTCTCTTGGTTTCTTCAGAGAGGCTGTGCCAGAGGTGCTTACAGGCAGAGGGCACTTGTGTGTATCTAATGGGACATGATACAAAAGTTGGGGATTTTTTCAAACTTCTTGTTTGAAGCTGGGTCCATCAGCCGGAGGGTAGTCCGCTAAGTCTGTGGGAGAGCTTGCAGCCATCAGTTCTGCTGTGGTATTTGTGTGGGAAAAGCTTTAAAGTGCCATTGACTCCAAGCGATCTCGGAGGATCTAGTAGTGCAGATCAAGGCCTGCGTAAAGACTGCATGCAGCGTTGATCAAATCAGGATCTGCTGGGACTGAGCAAACTGAGCTTGTGTATGTACGTTATACTACAATTTTAGATGTGTCTTTTAAATGTTTTTGTAATTGTAGCAGAATTAGCTTTGGTGCAGTGTTGTTTATGAGGATCACTAGCAGCCAACGTTGTTACTATTAATGACTGATGAAGTACTTCTTTACCGGTCGTTCTTGTCCAGCAGATGCCTGGGCGTCAGTTATCATAGTTTAGGTATGGAGCAGTTTTCTATGAAACAAATCTGCTTGTGTGTACTTTTGCAAATTGTCTAGGCTGCCAGTGGCTAGTACAATCCTGGAGAAAGTACTCAATCTAAAAAGAGTTTCCTTCGTGCTTTTCAAAACTATACTATTTCCTTTTTCTATGTTTTTCTGGTGCCACGACAGTCAAAGGGGTGTAGAAGACCACTCTTTGTTCTATTTCTCCTCATATCCAGTGAGGCTGCATTAGATTACACGCTACTTAAGTGAAGTATATTGTTTTAATTTGGGTTTAAAGTTAACATTCATATAACATACGCGATGTGAAAAGTGCACTTGAAGTACAACTCCTGCGTTGGAAGCAAGTGCTTGTTTGTTGCAAGGTTTAGTTAGCTGAGGGTTTTTTATAAACTGCTGGTAATATGCAAGTTGTAAGAAGTTTTCGGCAGACATTGCTCCTTACTAGTGTATGTATAGATCTTAGTCCTGCAAAGATTTACCCACATGCTTAAATTCTTATTCCTGAGTAGTGCTTGTGAAACCATGGAATTTCTTTTATATGCATAATATTAAACATATATACAAATCTTTGCAGGAGCCAGGCTGTAACATTTAGTATGCAGTATATTAGTACGTATGTATCCAACTCAATTACAAGAAGTTTTAGATAAGTGGACAAACGTTATGCTGAACAACTGCCATAAAAGCCTTTTTTTAATGTTTAGGTTCGTAGTGAAGTGCAGCATGCCTGAGCGTATTATCTAGAGGAGTTCCACAGAGGATACGTAAGAGCAGCTCTTGATATCTGAAAACAAACCCTTATACTGTAGATGTTCCTCCTGTGAGGAATCTGCCTGTGCACAAGTCTCTGAAATGTGACGTGAAAAGATACAGTGCTGTTTTTTAAGTCTCTTGGTGTTCTTGGCTGTGTATTCAGAGAATCTGTGGAAATCACTGGCTCCATTTCTTAAATTTCTGTTAAAAAAAAAAAACAACAACCAAACAAACCCAAAAACTACATCCTAAGGGAGCTGGGGTAGAGCTGATTTATGTCCAAGCTGGTGATAAAAGTGTGCTCTTGGTTCCACGGTCCCTCCCTTCCTCCTGTGCCTAGCGCTGGGACCCTCAATGCCCACGAGGTGCTTGCTGCTCCCAAGTGCTGCTTTGGTGCATGTCCGGGGTGGCTGCAGTGCCCTGCTACTAGTGTCCTGCTGGGTGGGTGTCTGCCTTCTGCTTCAGACAGAGGCCTTCTGGTTTGCAGAGTGCTCTGAGCTGAAAAGGTGATGTGTAAGAGGGCATCTCGCGTAGCTAATGGATTAGAGCTCTTCGCAAACGTGGAAGTAGCCCTAGGAGCAGGAATTGCAGTCTATGACTTTTGCCTGTCCTCTTTCTTTTGGGTTGGAGGAGGGAGTGAGAACAACTCTGGAATCTGAAAGGGGTAATGAGTTGAATATTCAAGTGTCCAAGAGCTGATGTTCAGGTGCTTTACCAGGTCATGGAGTTTTTGCTGACTTGGTCTTCATCTGTTTTGTGAAATTGTGTGAGGTGATTTTGAGGGGATAATACAACACCTTTATTTTCTGTTTTCCTAACTCTTGACTGTATTTGGTTTGATCATCCATTCTCTGGGGATAGGGTTATATTCTTCTCTCTCTGTGTAGCTGCCTGACCAAATGGAGCTTGTAACTGGAATGTCCAGATAGTTCTGTAATGATAAGCACTGAAGCTCATAGAAATTTTTTAAACTAAGAGATGTAACAAGGTGCAGCTTCCATAAATATTCAGGGAACTTATCAAAATTGTTATGGGAATTGTTATTTGTAGGTGAAAATCAGATTTGGCTTTCCTTGTTAAATATATATTCACCATTCTTTTATTCCGCTTGCAACTCTTCTGTTTAAGTACTTTTAGGTAATTTTAATCTGTTCATTCACAGTTGATGCTTTGGTAAGCAATAAATGTTAGTATTGGTTTCATTGATTCCTTCAAGATAGCACAGTTGAGCTACCTTTCCTTTGAAATAATGAGAAAGGTTTTCATTACCTAAATCTGGTGTTATTTTTACTTGATAACTTGATCGAATTTTGTTTTTTTTTTTTTAAATATACTTATGGAATTCAAGGATGGCTTTATGTGAAGGACTGAGGGTTTCAGAGCATTATAATTTCATTTCCTTCCATTTTCCAAGTCAGTGGATAATGTAATGAAATTTGGCCTACTGTTAGTGAATTAGTAAGATTAGACTGTGGTCAGATAGAACTAACGTAACTATGCAGATCCAATGGCCTACCTTCTAAACAATGTTGATTGGTATCTTTGGCCTTAGATGCAGAGGAAAGTGAAGGAGACACCATGATTCTTGCTCTCTAAAGTAATTCTCAAGGTCAGTTTGATCAATTATAAAAGCGCCATCCAGAATTAAGGGCGCAAGACTCTGACACAGCACAAAGCATATGAAATAAACACACTTTTAAAATGTATTTCCCCCGCTTTGTTGCTGTCCTAACAAGCAACTGTTCATATTATAATCAACCTTATAAACAACTTATGAAAAAGCTTAAGAGCCAATAAATTTAGCTTCGCTGATGTTAAGAAGGATCTCTAAACAAACGGAGGTGTCTGAACTGCTGAACTGGTGATATCCTTAGAAGAGGAGAACACCATCATATAACCCCGCTTTGGTGTTCTGTAACATCTAGGACGTTCTTGTGTTTTGCAAATGGGAAGAGTTTAGATACCAAACTTTGTTTAACACCACACAAGTCTTTCAGAAACTGCATACTGTAGCTTTTCTTCCTAATTTTTGAAGGAGTGCACTTTTGCTCTTTATTTCGCTAGTACCTAGTGACTGCTGAAATGGTCCCCTTTAAGAACACCTTTTTTTTTTTTTAATTTGGAAACAATGTAAACTTTAAATTACAATGTGATGTAGAAAGAACTCTGAAAAGAGGGTGGTGAAAATGTATGTTGGTGATCTAATAAACTAGATGAATGATGGTGTGCCAAAACTTGCTAATGATGCAAAAGTATTTGGATTAGGCAAGACTGAAGTAGACTGAGAAATTGTAAAGGGAATCCAAGAAAGCTGGGTAAAAGGGAAGCATAGCAGATGATGATGATAAATTCAAGAACATGCATGTTAGAAGGAACAATCAAATTACTCGTTCATGCGACTGGATTGTAAATTAGCTGTATTTGTTAAGGTGGGGGAAAGACTTGGGCAATGTTTTATTAGAGCTTGTGTGTCTCCTTAATGTTTAGCAGCGGAAGAAACTGCCACGGTTGTGAAATGCTACGTTAATAATGCAAAGGAGATTCTTAAATTGGTGCTTAAATTCACCTGGAATGCTTGATTTGTGATATCCTATCGGAGAAGAGAGATTGGAAAATTTTCATGTGAAGTTGAACTGAAAACATTAATGTAGTTTTGTTCTGAGAAGATCAATTAGAGAAGGTAGAATACATATGTGCAGAATAATGATTAATCGTTATTACGTAATCAATATGTCACCCTTTGCTATAATACCTTGACTATGTAGAGGGAATAAATTGAAAGACATTCCTAAATTACTTTTTTTTTTTTTTAAATACAAGTAATCACAATACTTATTGCCAAAGGAGATCACGTTGTCCAAGAGCCTAGTTGGATAAAAAAGAAAAGTGAACCATTTCTATAGACAGCAGGAACATTCACAGTTATATTTGAAGGGATCTTAACCATTATGCCTCAGGGTGTAAATTAACCACTACCTGACAGAGGTTAAGAAACGTTCCTTACAACAGATTATGCCATAACTATCTGCTGTGACGTTCCCTATGCCTTCTTCCAGAGGATGTAGGGTTAGCTGCTGTTAGTGGGCTGCTGATTTGACCCGGTATAACAATTTCTGTGTTCTGCTGTGTATGATGATGATTTTAATTAAATATTAATGGAGGTGGAATTGAAAGATTGTTTTTTTATATATATTTAGGCTTCACAGAAGGTATATTTGAACTTGCGGCTCTTACATGTGATGAAGTATGATAATGTTTAAATTTATTGAGGCATACTGTGCTGGGGTATGGACTGGCTTAGAGCAGAATAGAAATGGCGTTTAGGTTTTGTTTAAAAGACAATTAGTGTTGGTATCTGTTGTTAATCAGTTTGGTTATGATGTTCAGTAATTTCTAGTATGTGTTTTAATGATCAAAGAATATTTTATGATTTCTCTGCAGTTAAATATTTCTGAATTCTTTAACAGAATGATAATTGTCTGTATGAGTATGACAAATATAAGGACCAGTTTCTGGAGGTAAGAACTAGATCTTCTGCAACTTAGTGAGTGGGTCTTTCAAAGAAACTATAGTCAACAGTAGTGTACCAGCTACCGTAGAACTGTAGCACTTCTACAGGCTATGAGCGTTAATCTGTCGCAGAAGAGAAAATGGAAAAAATGTTTTGATTTTATTAGCAGACAGTGTGATTGATTTAATAATGAACACCTCGTGCTAACGTGTTAGTGTCTGTATGGAAAAAGATGATTAAGTTTTGTCTGTAGAAGTGTCATGAAACTATAGCGTAGCTGTAACCCAAAATATTAAAGACAAAGTCTTCTGCAACTTTTAGGTGATCTGACCAACCACAACGAGTTGTCATAAAGGCTGTCTAACAGCTATCTACAAAAGAAAATGTGAATTGGTTTTCTGACTCCCTCTCCAAAGGGTAAAGCTATTTTGAAGATAGCCTTGCACTGCTTTTCAGAACTTGGGAAATAAGGTTCATGGAAAGGCCCAAGTTTGTGAAAATACATAAAAGTGATGTTGTCTTTTGAGACTCTAGC